ATTCATTAGATGAAATTTCGATATCCGAATTATTTGGGTCGAATTCCACAAATCCAAGTGAAGACTAATTCCGCTTGTGTTAAAACCAGAATGTACATTACAAGGTTTACAGAGTAGAATAAATACCCGCAATGTATGTTTAAGCTATTGTAATATTTGAAACCTAACGTGTTAATATGATATAGTGTCGGTAAGTTCACAGTATTAACATCACATAAAATAAAATGTTGAGTAAATTTTATATAAAATTATTTAGAAATACTATATGAAGATTGTCACCATGCAGCGTAAATGTATTTTAAATTAAAAATTGTTATATTTACCGCTTTTATCAACCTTCTTTTCTTGACCATTTTGAATAAATTAAACCATATTAACGAACATTGAACAGATTTTTGCATTTATGCATGACTGTATGATAAAGATGAGTACTTGTTGGGAAAAAAAATATTAAATTTGGTGTCTAAAGAGAACAGGCGATATTATAAAAAAAAATCCAAATCAATATTTATAATTTATCTAAGAAACAGGATTACGATTATGCCAAAGTAATTTGCTAGTACAATTTAATTCAAAACTGATATTGGTGATCTAAGATAAAATAAAAAATACCTACTACTGAAAGATATGCACGAAAATGATAATATTTCGACAAGTATTTTAAACTTTAATTCAATTTTGTAACATTCAGACGCAGAAATAAACACTGTGGATCTTAACGGAATGATTTTTAGTGCATTAGTATCAATTCGTTAAACAAATGTTTCTTTTCCTGTACAATTTTTTTTTTTTTAATTTTTGGCGAACGAGATTGTGGCAACATATCAACATTATTGCTGAGTGGTTCGGTTATACGTTTTTTTAAGGTTGTAGTCTACCTATTTCTTTCAAAAATATGAAAATATTCTGAATTTATCCATCTGTTTTATTTTGTTACTCAATATTTGTTATGTTGTTCTCTTTCGTTCGCTGTGAGTTATGTCATTTTTCCTCTTTTCCTGGCACAAGTATTAAATAGGTATGTTGTTTTAAAACTTACACGTTAAGGCTATAGTAAAGGTGAGAAAGTGCTAACCAAAATTTGTATATCCCTCTACTTCAAATATAAATAAGTGATGGTATGGTGTCAAAAAAACGTTCAACATACATTGCAACACAATTTTCTACCTGTCTTATTACGATATAGGTATCTATGTTTTAAGTACGATATATTAAATAACTTCATAAAATTTAATTTTCCAGAATATCCTAAAACTTATTTGTCATTCATGCCACAGTCGATTTTATTGAGAATATGCAAGGTTTTTATAAATGATTCTAATGGCGTAGTTGACCATAAAACAACAAAATAGTTGTTTTCAAAACCCTTGGTGCTTGCGTACGAAAATTTTGTTTTTGTGCTAGGAAGCGAACACCGTGAAAATAATTTAATATTCTGTAACCGCTTGTAAGCAAGAATATCTGGCCAAGTACCCTAATTTGGCCATTCAAGAAACATCGTTCGAGGCTCACATCAGAGATGTAATCAACAGATTTGTTCGAACTGGCAGGTCAACAAAGAGAAATCTCCTGGAAGACCTTCAATATCTGAGGTAGTTGTTGATGATTTGAGACGACTCAAGCAGAATCCGCAAACATCTTTGACAAGATTGCCTGAGCAGTCAGAAGTTCCTGTTGCAACATGAAATTGAAGCATGTTGCAGAAAAGTTTTGAAATAAAAAAGAGAGTGAACATGTGTAATCATAATAAATTTGTTTTTTTTTATTATAATGAATTAGTTTTATTTTTTAAAAAGATGTTAGTCATTTAGGCATCCAGTTATACGAATGCGTGTGATAATTGTCGTGAGTCCTTGGGTATTTAGTAAAGTCTATATATAGTGATAGGCGGCACGCTTCCATGTCCTACTTCGACCCTATAATCATTTATAAGTACTAATTTTTTACTCCCGGAAATTGTGAACGTTTCCTACTGCTAACTCGTGGGGTGCACAACCGAAAACAAGATTCTACGTGTTGCTGGCATGTTTTATACACTAGTATAACGCAACCCGCAACTCAGACATAACAACATCGGTGACCAAACCAAAAATTGAAAAGATTTGCAAATGCACTTTCCGCCAGCAAACGCTACAGGGGGAGCATGTTTGAATTTTGTCATTTCAAGCAGGAATATGTGTGAGTATGTAAAAGAAACATTGTTTTAAATAAGGTAATTATCAAAATTTTGGTCAGACGTATTTGAAATGTAGAACAATTTGTCTTTTTTGTCAGAATTAACAATATGTAATTGTATTCAGTTTTATTAGCATTTTGCGTACCTAGTAACACAGCAAAATAAGTAATAAGTCTGATATTTCGTCCTGTGTGACATATCAACTTCTGAAATTCTACAGTAAAAATAATAGGTCGTATAAAAACTGCATAACATGTCGTGAAAATCTGCATGCGAGTTAGTTTCGTGTCAACTTGCACGAACAATCAAATGCAGGCGTTGCTTGACATGGAAGAATTATTAAAGAATTTAGGAAAAAACAAAAACAGCAAACTCGCATTTCCTTCGTGCTTTCAGTTAAAATGCCGTGTTTTCTTACGTGTTTGCTGTACTTTTGAAATATTTGCGTGCTGTGATAAGTAATGTTAGTTTAATGCCTTTTTGTACATTAACAAATCGTTCCTCCATACAAATCCGTATTTTATTCAAATTATAAAAGAGAGATTTAAAAATTGTTGATTATTAAAATTAAGTAAGTTTACGACCTGTAACTGCCATGAGCTTAAGCGTAACTATCACGACATCCAATCAAGACGGTTTGATTCATTTACGAATATTTAAACGCGTCTTAATATTTAGCTTTAAATATATCGTTGTTAATATCATTAACTTCCAAAAAAGAGTAGGTGTTCAAATAAATCATCAATTTTCCCAGTCAGACGAGAAATCGTCCTATTAGTGCACAAAAAGTGTTTCCTGTAAATATAAAACTCCTGTATTCACTTTCAAAGCTTCGCTGAACGAAACCCGAAGCTTGGAACGAGTAAGCTTTAAAATCCGATGTCCGGAGATGGGAATATTACCTTACTCAACTCTGGAGTACTTTCCAACCACAGCATGCATAAGATATGTGCTTTTTTTATTTAACAACTCGTGTTGGCAAGAACTATTTGTCACATTCTATCCCGCTGGAATATTTAATGGAGACATATTTTACGAGGGTGCTTTAAAGTACAGCACCACCGATTCTTTCTCGATTTAACTATTAACGTGCCTTGAAGGCGGCTCTAACCCCTGGAAATAAACGATTCTAAAGCTGCTTCTTCCGTTGGCTAGAACTTTCTAAACCATATGCAGGAAGTTGTTTCAAATTTTGTTAAAGAAGTAACTAATTTTATTTTTTATTCCTTGTGGACTGGATCATGTCTTAAAAAATTAGTAGGTAATTTAACAAAAAAAAAGCTCATCAAGATAATGCTCAAGTCTAAGAAGACCGCTACAGAGTTGTCCTGACCTGACAATTCCTCCCGGAACGAAACCGACACTCTACGTTAAACATTTGACCCTTTCATTGTCTGTTTTCTATTACAAACTCCCAACTCCGACCGTTTCGTGGCTAAACAAGTGTAATGAATTGCGGCGTGGAAGTTGTCAAAGTTGCTTTCCTCGGACACGTCGTCTATAAAATAAGCGCAAATCCCTTCATTTGTCTTTATGAGGGAACAAAAGACTTAACTAACCAGTAAAAGATTGCTGGATGCGCTGACCTCGAACGTGTCTTCCTATGAAATCCAATGGAGGCGCGATCAGTTAAGAGCGGTCATAAATTTCGTCAAGTGACTCATCGTCTCCTGCTAAATCCGAACGGCTAACTTCTTGCTGAATGGACAGGGGTCGTTCCAATCAGTGACAAAGTTTCCCCGATGATTGCTGATTTTGTTAATCTTTGACCGTTCGGAAGGACAATATTTGATCGTGACAGCCAATAAACACGATTTTACTGCTGTATTAAGGGAGGTCGGCTTGGAATTATCATCTTTAAACAGGCCTACCGTTTCCCCTGGAAGATGACTAAATAAACAAACTTTTATGGCGGGAGATGTTTTTATTGTTATTATTATTCAGGGCATAGCGGCGTCATAACTAGGACCTTGTTTGAAATCTCCAGCGAACTGCTTTTGCTGAATCCGAAAATTAAGGTAATGAAATTAAGTTCACAAAGACAAAGGTAAAGAAGAGTGGCATCGATCTTCTAAGATGCCTTTTACATAAAATATCTGGCTTAATATTCCAAATTTATACTTTTATAATTAAGTGTGCCGACGTGCTTTGTCAAAAATGTTGTTGTAATTTTCAAGAGGCTTATTTTAATATTCAGAGCACAATATCTAGATTTCTGTTTGCATTATAATGGGTAAACAGAATAAATACTAATGCTTTAGAGTTTTACATTTTCAGACATCTTTTGAAATCTATTAAAAACGGAACAAGTGAAAAAGATACTCATTCAATTATAACACAATGAGAAGATTAGAAACTATTTGTTCATCTGTCCTATACCAACAAAAATACTAAATTTTCCCAACGAGCCGCCACTGCTTTACCAATTTATGTAGTAATAGCAGCACTGAACTCGATACATCATTTGCAACTCGGCGTAAGATATGGGTTAGTTATTATTATAAACTACTCCATTGTTTGTTTATCTTTATGTTCGACAAGAACCAGGCAATTATAATGCGTGAGCTAATTCCATGTACATGTTGTTTACATTTTAAGCACGTTGTGAAGTTGTTTGATTTCTTCTATCAAGTATTATTCTAATTATACAAAACTAACCACTAGCTGAACGTGTAGTGATAAAATTGTTAAAACCAACACAGAAAGATAAATTTGATCTCTCTATCGTATCCAATTTCCCTAACGAACTTCTCTTGTTTATCCACTAAGAGTATTTACAAAAACAGTATTTTCCTTCTGTCCGATAACTCAAAATAAACATGAAATGTTACAAATAAACGATAAAACCAACACTAGTAAACCTATCAGACAGACTGAACTCAATGCTGCTGTATGATGAATATATATCAATTAATTTTGATCTCTTTTGACAATGAATAATTTCGATTACAAAAATATGTTTGTGTTTTTAAGATTAAATAAATGCAGTGTCGGAACTCTTACGAAGTTTCTTGGCGTCTATAAATATTTCCTGGTTTTAGAAAACTTCCCCCAGTTTATGAAAATATGTTTGATGTATCACTTCTTTGCTCAAACAAGTGTGACTTATATTAAAAAATATTTCAACGTAGCACGAAATATAGCACTGCAACATTTAGATCAGTTGTATTTAGAAAATTAACTAATGAGAACGAATAATGTGATATATTATTAGAACAAATTATTCAATAAAACAGGCCGGTGGCGGTGCTCTCGAATCACGTAGTTGTATGTAAATTGTATTAATCAAAACTTTATACACTTCATCAGTACGTCATGTTAAACTGTTTAGAATCGTTTTTGCTAATTTGAGTACATAGTTTACAATTTAACACACGAACGTGCTAATTTCGCATTAATTTAATTATGTTTAAATTTTCATATCACCATAAGCAAATGTTCAACGTTTCCGTTTTAGTTACTTTACTAGTATAATACTAATACAATGTTAAAAACTGCCACAATTTTAGTTTTTATTTTTACTATATTTTTTTCTTTGTCTGAGTGTCAAAAAAACAATGTTTGTAAAAATATTAAGGATTATTTAGATATTGATAATAATACAGATTGTTGGTATAATCCAGACGTCGGTGCGTCTCCGGTAGTAGATCATTACACATGTTGTAACCATTTTAATTGTAATTTTTAGGAAGAAATTATCACTCGATGGGGCTATCCTTTCGAAACGCACAACTTCACCACTGAGGATGGATACATAAATGTCTTATATCGTATACCACACGATAATACTGACACAAATATTACAAGGCAGCCAATCTTGTTACATGGAGGTTTAGGTGGAGGACCGTTAACTTTCCTTTACATTGGAAATCGGTCACTAGGTAAAAATTTAAAATTGGTTTTTTGATGCTAATTAAGAAATAGCATTTTTTCTAGTGGACGAAGGTTTTGATGTTTGGCTATCAAATCGTAGAGGTTCTCTTAATGGAAAAGTTCACCGTGACTATGAAAAAACGGATGAGCAATTTTGGAACTTTACTTTCCATGAATGCGGTTTTTATGATATTAAAGCTGAAATCAATTTAATTGCAGACGAAAATACAAGTCACAAAAAAATTATTCTTTTGGGATTTTCTATGGGAAGTACAGAGACGTATATTTACGCGATGTTGAGAAAAAAGCACGCCAACAATCACTTGGCTGGGATTATTTCGATCAGTCCTATAGCATTTATGACACGATCGGGGGGTGTGATAGCGAAACTAGCTCCTTTTGCAACACTAATTGAGGTTTGTTTAGTATACATGGTGTTTTGGTCTGATAGAACTTATAGAAGTTATCAAAATACTGATTCAAAACCCAGTACCATCAGACTCTTATCCCCCGTCATCCATGGTCAGTTTTTTTCTAACAGAAGCATTTGTAGAGCTTCTTAAGAAAGGGTAATCTACACGCTTTGGCGTTGACTGAAGAAGGTGCAAAAGAAGACGAAAATTTTAGATTATCATTTCCGAAAATTGTATTTTCCAAATCCTTCGTTGAATTTATCGTAGGAAAAGATTCGTCACAAACGGAAGCTGTAAGTGATAGCAAATTTTAACCCCAGATGACACCAATGTTTCAGGCCGACTTACCGGTTTACTTCAGGAGCAAAACAACCCCTACATCAATTAAAACGTTAATACATTTTTCCCAGGAAGTGAACGCTGGAGGACATTTTCAGTATTATGACTACGGCATATCTAAAAATTTAAACCTCTATAAATCAATCCACCCTCCGTCTTATAATTTATCAAAGATAAGAGTCCCGGTACATCTGTTCTACGGAGAAGGGGACCGTCTGTCCAGTGAGCAAGTATTTAAATTGTTCGTAAACGAGTGTCGCTGAAAATTAACCAACTCTGAATTTCAGGACGTTTTGAAACTTTACGATAGTCTTACAATGAAAAAAAAATCCTTGACTTGCATTCCCGAAGATAAAAGTGTTCGTTTTAACCACGCCGACTTCACGTTGGCTAGAGATATCAAGGAATTACTTTATGAAGTGCTGCTGAAGACAATTAGGGAGAAGCTGAGTGGGTGAAATAAAAGCTGCGCTTTTTTGTGTCGAGGTGTTTCCGCTTTTTGCCCCCGCCTAATAAAAAATATAAATAAGTTTGTGTTGTGTAAAAAGCAAAGAACAGACATTATTAATTTATTTTCGGTATAGAATTTGGCCGTCAGAGTGTAATCATCAATCTTACGGGTCGTTTGTCTTTTGTCGTTGACCGGTGGTGCAGGCCTCTGTGGTCTTTCTGCCTATTCGAGCCCCTGACAACTTGGGTTTTCTTCGCGGCAAAAACACAAGAAAATGCTTAATTTATCACAAATTAATTACACGTGAATAATGAACTGCCTTATCACCGGCAAAACCTCGATAAAAAATTTAATGTAATCGTGAAGCGGGTAAAAATCAATTTAAAGTTTAAAGGTCTTGGCAAATATTAGACATCCTGATAAATATTAATTGCCTTTTGCATATAAAGTGGACCACTTTGTTAATTTGCATTGGTCTTGTACGAGGGCCGTTCAGACGGCTCCTGATGAGACCTCGCCTAGACACGAATTATTTTCAAACCGAATTCGCCCAATCACCCATAATTTGATTTGGTTCGACGTTGTGCAAGTGCTGATATTGGTTTGTGGCGAAAGCTGGGAGACTTTTTAAGAACTTTTATCTTAACTCCATTTCTTTCTTTTACGTTTATAATAACTTTACCATGTCAAAGACATTCCGATAGAACAAGTTTGACAAAATAAAACTCAGACGCCAATTGTTTTTTGCATAAAACATGCACGGTGAGTAAAATTATTTAAACTCAACAAGAATTTTTCCAGGTAATGTTGTTTTAGGTGAAGTCTGTTTTTTTATTTAAGTGGGTATAAAGATGTCGCTGACATTAATATTTCTTTAATATCACTTCCAGGATTTGTTTTGATCCATTTTATAAACGCCCAAAGTTTGAAAGTGTTTGACGTAAATTTTTATCGAGGGAACGTAATTCGTCTCTTGGATTTATTGAAAGTTCTTGTGGTTCAAAATACTCCCTCTTTGTATGTCATCGCAACGTCAAATAAAAATGAGTAATGCTGGGGAGCATTGAGAATAATTTCTTGTTTTCGAACAAATAATTTACTTCAGTTGTGCTTCTGGTTGCAGAGAGTTTGACTTTTGTGTTTCATTAAAATATATGCAATATGTATTAAGTAGACTCAAATTTGCACTGAGATTTAGGAGGATTACGTGAAATTGATGAAATCTCTACCGGAACGTTGTTGTTAAGTCTCTTTGCAGTGATGTTCGTATTATTATTCAAGTATAGAAAACACTGTAGTGGCACTAGGACAGTCATTAATTAACGAAAATTTGCATGTTTTGGGTAGGATATATTCAATAAAATTTTACGTTTGCAAGATTTCAAAACATTAGGTTTTGCAGTATGAATTTTTTTTTTTCCAAAAATTTTGACAAACACTGTAAAAACTCAACATTTCGTAAAATACAAGTGCAGCAGTATGTTATTTTATAAAATCTAAATAAAACTTACTATTGTAAATTTTGAAGATGACGTCATCCCATTGTTGGTGAGGATGATCAGAAAACTTTTGGCTAACGTTTTGACATCTACACAATATTCCTAACACACATATAAAATTTGACAACAATCGTATTTTTCGAAGCTTATCTGTCTAATAAAAGTCAATATACCTAGACAGGCAGACGACAGACAAACGACAGACAGACCAAACTGCAAGACCTACTTTTTCGTACTCTAAGGGTCCATGAAACCTCGAGAAAACACGAAAGTAGTCATTCGTCGGATTACAATACTTCCTTAGCTTAAGCTCGGGAAGTACTTGAGAAAAAATAGGATTTATTTTAAAATTTAAATTCAAAATATAATATATGGTTCGTTTACGGGAAGTTACTTACACTGATAAACTGAAAAACAACCGTCAGGCCGACGCACTTTTGTAAGTTCCCGAGGTAATTCTGACATATTTAAGAAGAAAAAGGAGTGATTAAGCAAATACTACCGAGAGGGTTGCAAAAAAAATAAAAAGAATTAGTGAAGTTACTAAATTTAAACTAAAAAATTTAAAAATTTAAAGGAAGAAAAATTGAAAAAGCGAAAGAAAATAGGCTCTACGAGATATGATATTATAAATAAATCGAGAAAATATAAAAAAAAAACCTACTCTAGAGGTGTGTAGCCTACTTAAGATTGAGTGAGTACCAACAAAATAAATGTATCCAAAGTCGTCCAGATCAGGCGAAGCCGAAATTATAAACAAACTGATAGATCCAAATTTGTCGAGGTTATTTCGACAGAACTTTTTCGCGATATTTGTTTTGTCATATCGGCTATGAAGGAAAAACCATTGGTGTAAGTAACACCCCTGCAGCCCCCGAGCCCCGGGAAGGCGCGATCTGTGATATATATTTAAATGATAGAACCAACGGGAAAAAATGTGTACTCACTACATTCTTAGTTTCGAGTGTTTATGTTTATACTTCGAAAGAATTCAACTATCAAGCACGTACAGATAACAAGCACCAGCGAGGGCAGATTAAAGTATATAGCTATTTGTCTCGAACTAATATGAAATTTCATTGATTTTGTCCCCCTTAATTCATTAAATAAGCTACAATGGAGCAAAACAGTCCACACATTATTTTAGGTCCATAGCTATTACAATACTAATTAAGCGATTGATGAATGGTTTATAAAAAAGTGTAACTTGGATCATGACAATGTCTTATTGCGCAAAATGTTGAGCTGACGTCATGAAATTGTTGGTGGGGATGATTAGACAAATGTTGGCTAGCGTTTTACCATCTAAATGATATTATTAACCTACATACCAAATTTGACAACAATCGGTCCAGTACTTTCGGAGATCATCTGTTTAATTTAAGTCTAAAAACCATTTTTCGTGTTCTATTAAACTTCGAGAAAACATTAAAGTAGCCATTTGCAATACGACCTTAGCTTACGCTCGGGAAGTAAAAACGTATAAAGGACTTGAAATAAAACAACGATTGGTTATTTTTCAATATATATATAATCTCCAGACACTCCACTTTTAATATTTCAAAATCAGTGGAAATAAATTATTAAAATAGTTATTGTGTGCCAAGGCCAAAAAGTGTTTTTTTCGGACGAGTCTCATTTTAATGGCCCGGGTGACAGCCGAGGCCAGATAGAAGGCGAAGACGAAATAAAACTTTTTGGCAGTGCACTTAACATTAAAATATGCAATACATAAATGCAAAAAATAGTTAAATATACAGAATATGCAAAAATATGCATTTTGCATATTATCCGAGACTTAATAATAATTATTAGAAAATCGAGTTGGCTTTAATTTTTTGTAAACATTGTGAAGTATGTCCATAAATCCAAAGTTTAATCAACCGCTGAAAATGGCGAAATGCCAATTATACAGGACGGTACGGATTAATAAAACACATGCGTTTTTCGCTGTTTTCTAAAAAGCAACGCCAACATGATGATTTTTTCAACTGAAGACTCGTTATTTGTTACATCTTACAGCAAGATTATACTTGGTTTTATTTGGTGGAAAATCAGCAATAAATGGCGCCACTCTAAAACGGATAATAATGAAAGCTAGCAAAAACGATTATTCATGTTCGCTTTTGAGTACCTACTAAATTTCTAATTTTTTGTTAAGGTCGCCTAAAAAAGTTTCTATTTTGGTTTGAAAAATATTGCTTCTCAAACTAATTCTTCAACGTCCAAAAATCTTTGCCTCCGCTTTTCTTCATTTTTCTGACCAGAATACAATCGGAAGGTGCTAAATCAGGGCTATAAGTAGGATAATTCAGTTCTTTAAATGTTAAATGCATCTAGTAGTTTTCTTAGTACCCCGTCTGAGTACTAAAAAATCGTAGAACCCTTGTGTTTCCACTGCAACGATTTTGGTTTGCTTTCTGGACCATAATGATCAATCAATTATTTACTTCTTTTATAACGGCTCGATGTTCTAGTTTCACCATTACAAAACCCTCTCAGCACCAGACCAAAAACAAATATATATAAGAATAAATGCAGACGTTAATTAATTAAAGACGACGCACAATGAGAAAAACCAGGGAAAAAATTATGTTGGCAACAAAGTACCAGTACTTAATTTTAAATTTTAAAACTCCACAGACAAGAATTATTTCCTCGCCATTAGTGTGGTTAATTATAATTGCCCATTTTTTCATGGTGCGTCGACTGTAATTCCTTAACTCTATGTGACAGTATTATGACAATTTAAAGAAAAGTATGAAACACATTTTTTTCGTTTACACTTTGCTTCATAGTTAGGTACCTTTTTTGTTAGCTTTTCCCCCAAAAAGTTTACGTGGATAAAATCCCATGTTAATATTATGTAATTATTCACTCCATCCAAACTCCGCTAAAAATTTTCTCTGTCTCTAAATAGGTAATATTTTTAATTTTTTAATAAGGCTTATTTTTACTCCCCGACGCGTCAATTAAATTTCATAAAAAGTATTCTGATAAGAAGCGGAGTGAGAATTTTTTACTGCATCGTAAATCCGTCTTAGCACATCATAGTTTTAACTCTGGAGTGCGTGTTCGGTCGACAAATTGGCTCGTTTAAATGGTTTTGTTAAAAATAATTTATTTTTGGTTGAAAATAAAAGGTGAAGTGAAGTGAAGTGCCCAAGGTTCGGCGCGGAAGGAAAGGAGATCTGGATTTAAAGGGTAAATGTTGCTACTAGCTCTTAATTATTTATTTATTGTTCTCTATAGTGACTAGTGTTACTACAAATAGATATAAATACAATATGGAAATTAGTTAGACTGAAACCTCGTTAGGTAAAATAAATTATTCGTTTGATTGCAATTACCTGGAATTTATGAATGTTGATGTTTTAAAAATCAGTTTCAATTTTAATTCGTATTACATGTGTATTGCAACGTGTCGAAACCTTTCATTGTTTTTGTGTAAAATTGTAATTATTTCGTACAATTATCACTTTTTGTAAATAAGTAATGTCTAAACTGT